TCAATTGCCGAAGATGCTAATTGATTTAATTAATTAATTAATTAAAACAAAAGTTTTCTGACATGGTTCATGTCTCTACTTGCGTGTGTGTCTCTAAATAATTTAACATTATAAAACGTTTCGTTAAGTTCAGGAATGTTAAGTACACTCGTTAAGTTTTCACAATTTCGTTAAGTGTGGAGTCGCCGGGGACCTTATAATCCACATCACTTAGTCAAGCTGCCAACCAATTTACATTTTATAGCAAGTGTATTGTGTCCCAAAAGCCTGGTCGCGAACCATGCCAAATAGGTATAACTAAAGCTCAGACAAAATCCGAAACTTAAGAGAGAAATGCAAGAGAGCGCTTTATATAGATGTCCGTTATATATGCGCATAAGCAGCTAGGCAATAACTGTAGCCTGTTTTTGGGCGCGCTTTTCTGCTCAGTTGGCCAAGGGATGTCGTCCAGCAGGGACAACCAAGCCGCGGACGCTGCTCTCGTTGGCTGCCAATTGGTCAGTCGTACCTCTTATTGTTGGTGTAGGCGCTGCTGCTGCTGCTGTTCGCGCGTTTGTTATTGTTGTTGCACATCTGATTCCCGTTGTCGTAGTCATCGTAGTTGTTGTTCTTTTTGCTGACGGTCAGCAGCATCGCAATTTTTGTTATTGTTGTTAAGACGTGCAGTGTTAAGTGTTTGTTGCCTAAAAAATATACAGAAAAAAGAACAAGGAAATAATAGCATTTACAGTTACTTTGCCTGTGGCGCCCTGTGATATTTGTGTAGCAGAATTTAAAAGCAAATTACAGTTAAAGAAATATAACATTGAAATAAATATACACACATACAAAGTGAAAATCAAAGGTAATTTCCACAAAAAGTGAAAAAGATTTAAACGATAATTTTAAGATAATACAAAAAAGGCGATAAATAAACACAACATTTCAATTAAAAAACCCTGCAACTAGAATATATGTAGCTAGAAAATAAAAAAACATACATAAATACACATCATATACAAATGTGTGCGTGCATATGTATGTATAAAGCGTAAGCTAGTTGCAGTTTCCGCTATGTAATTGCTCAAGTGTGCATGCGTGTGCATGCATGCGGGTGTGCGCGTGTGTTTGCGTGTATTAGTGTTGGTTTGTTCTCTGCTTCCACCAACATGCCCCAATTTTGTGCTATCTGCTGCTGCTCCTGCTGCTGCTTCTTCTTCTATCACTTTTGATTGCTTTGACTTTCGCTGATTTTTTGTGCCATCTTCTACTTTCACTTTTAAAGTAAGTGTGAGTGTGTGTGTGTGTTGTGAATAAAGTGTATTGGCCTATTGCTAGAAAAGTCTGACGTGACCAACATTCATTTTGGCAGACAAGTGGATATACTGTCCGAAAAAACAGGTCACTCCTCTCTGCACAAGCCAAAGAACCCTCCACACCTACAGCATTGTATGCGGCTTGTAAATAAATCAACTAGATAACTAGTATTTATGCAATACATAGACACACACACACACACACACAATGTATTGTCGCACTGTGCACAGTGGAATGACCTCGCAGTAGGTTAATGAAAAAGCCCTTGTTGCTGCAAAAATTTCTGGTTCTGCAGCTACTTGCCAAAATGGCCGACACTCTCCCGCTCTTTCCCCTCTCCCACTCGCTATTCTTGCTCATTTGCACTTTCCTCTCCTATAGCGTGTGTGTGTGTATGCAGCTCATTAAATGCTTATTTAATTATAATGCATTTATGTTGCTGCATAATTAAAACAAAATGTCGTCCCCTGCAAATTTTGGCAGTTAAATGAGAAACGGTGCTACTTGGCGGCTGCTCTTTCAGCACCTCACCACATCCCTCGCCCTCCCCTCTAGGAAGCTTCCATATTAGGCTAATGGGCACTGAGTGGAAAGGAACAGAGCAAGAAGATGATGAGCAGATGGTGTCAACTGTAAAGGCCTGCCGAGCTCTTTTTCTAACACACACACACACAGATACGCATGCACACGTATACATGCACGTGTGTATGGATGCATGCAAGCGAGTGGACATGAATGCATGTGGTATATAACAGTTATTGGATTGTCGGCGTGCATTGCCTGCTCTGCTGAGACTTTGTGATCTGTTATAAAGTCAGTTATGTGTTGTTATAAGTAGCTGGCAGCTCTATAACAAGCAACTGTAGTTTCTTATTCCGTAAAAGCAATTAAATCAGAATCATGCTTGATGTGTGAGTGACACAGAATTAGGCAAATTGTGCAGGTCAGTGATATACGCACATGCATATGTAAGTCTTAATCAAGATGCTGCAGAGCAGAAGAAAGCAGAATGAGGGTTGCCTCGTTGCCTTGTTGACATCATAGCATTTGTGGCCAGTCTGAAATATGGGAAACAATAATTTGTAGGATGCTGCCCGTTGACGGATGTTTGGCCTTTGAAGTGCAAATGCTGCAGCTCCGGTTACAAATTCAATCAAAAAACTGTCAACTGTCAACTGTCAGCTGAAAAGTGTTGGGGGTATGGCAGACGGGGGGAGTTGTAGGGGTTGTATTGGTATAGAAATAGAAATGGAGAGCGACACCTGCCGCACACAATTATCGCCGATGATATGAGCTTGCAGACATGATAGCGTCTTCTTCCATAATAGAGGCATTGAGAGAGAGCGAGAGGGGGAGGGAGGGGGGGGGGGGGGGGGTGACAGGGTGCCACTATTGCTGTAAGGCGATGCTAGATGAAAGCGTTGACGTTGACGTCGTGGACGTTGTCGTTTTTCACTCGTCTCATTTTCATTGTGGCCATCTTTAGTTTTGTCTTCATCGCTGTCTCCGTTGCGGACCTGCCCACTCATCGTTTTTCCCATGAAAAGTTTCGTATAAGGGAATGCAAAACTGTGCCAAGTAGAGCTCAGCGCGTGCTCAAGGGGCTGTCCCTTTGAATGGGTGCCGGGCGCTGTGTCCAAAGATATCTCCCGATAGACTATAAAACGGGTAGAGTATGAAATAAACCAATAAAAAGCTGTTACACTTAGGGCGCTGAGCCACTAGGAGGACAATAGCAAATAGGAGACTAGTGACTCCTTGCCAGAGCGTCAGAGTGGGAGACATAAACAGGTCAAAAGAAGAACACGGAAGAGGGATGTTGATCCCTCTTGTTATTAGTTACTAAAAGACAGCTTCAGGTTTGGTACTTCTTATTCCCCTTACTGCTATTCTCTCCTCACTTTTCTTTCAGCCATCATCCAAACGTGGAAATGTGCACTGCGAGCCTGAGCTGCAGCTGCTGAACAAACTGCTAATCGCTTTCACTAACTACCTGGCTAACAAGTTACCTGGCTACGGAGACGATGGACGGAACACCATTGTCGCTGACATTCACCAGCCTTGCGCTGTTGCTGCTGCTGCTGCTGATGTGCGTGTTGCTGGGCTGCCATTGCTTGGGTCCTCGCGCCGCCAGCTGGATGCGAATGCGCTCCAGCAAGGAAGAGAAGATCGGGCTGTCCAATCACAAGCACAAGCTCTTCCATCCTAACGGGTATATGGCAAGTGTAAGTAGTCACAGCAGAGTCAAGGCTGAGTAATCTAATCGTTTCACGTTTGCGCAGATCCAGTCCGGCTCGGAGTTTTTGCTGAGCACCAGCGGCAGCTTCAAGCGCTTCGATACCATTGACAAGGACGATCACAATCGGTCGCAGCAGCAGCTGCAGCAGCTTCAACTACAGCAGCAGCAGCAACAACAATTGCTGCTAAGCAATGCAGTAGACTCGACGACGCCCTTGTGGAATCTGCCGCAGGCGGATGTCTGCATTCCGCCACAGCCGTTGCGTCCGGCGCCCGCTCCAAATAGTGCCGGACCCAGTAGCAAGACCGTTACCTTTTCATTCAGCCAGCTAAATGAAGCATCGGAGGCACGCTCCAATCCGCAGCGCTCACCTTTGCGCACAGCCGCTGCAGCACTGCCACAGCCGCTAGAGGCGCCTCCAGCCCCTAGACTAACGACGTCTGCTTCCGTGACGCTCTCTGCGACGGCTATACCTCGACCCATAGCCAAGCGACAGATCTCACTGCAGCAGGGCATTAATCGCACCACGGAGGCAACGCAGGCTCCTACTCCCATGGAACCCAAGGTAGAGCGTCGACCCCCTTCGTTAAAGCGTCGCAACTCCAGCACAAATCCCTTCCTATGCGAGTCCACAGAGCAACTTCCTCCGAGTCAGCCAGATCTTCAGCCCCAGGCCGAGTCGCAGCCTTCGCCTGAGCTTCAGGCTCAGCCCAAAGTCGAGTCCACGCCGGCTCCCTGCCCCAACGGCAATCCCTTTGTGCACGAGGGTCAGAGCCTTTCTAGCCGCCTCCTAAAACTGCACAACACCAACAATCCATTCACGAGTCTAACGCAGCGGGTGAAGGGACCACACATGCTGCAGAAGACCATCTCTGAGGATTATTTATTCCGCAAGCTGCCCAATGGCCACGGCCTCAACCTCAGCAATGGCTTGAGCAATGGATTGGCCAATGGACTGAGCAATGGAAATGGCAATGGCAACTCCACCTGGTGCTTTGGCCGTTCGCTACTGCGACAGGAGTCGAGCATTAGCCTGGGTCTGGGCAGGCGCAACAGCTCGCAAGTGTCGCTGGATGGATCGATGGATGGCATGCAACTGGAGCATGCCATCTCCTGTGATTCGGTCAATTCGGATGCATCTTCCCTATGTCTGGATCAGCTCGATCAGCCCTACACACAAATCACGGGCTATCTCTGCGTTGGCCTTCAATACGAAAAGTAAGTGACTAAAGTCAGATTGGGTATCCCTGAAGTGAAACTCTTTTTGGGTTATTCAGGCACAGTGAGGAGCAGTTAGAGCTGACGGTCAGCGTGCTGGAGGCCAAAGGACTTATCTGTCCGCTTAGCATGGGACTGGACTCTCTGGACACATTTGTGCGCATCTATCTGGTGCCCGATCATGCGGGTGGCATGCAGACCAAGGTGAGTAGAACCAGGCATTGGAGTACCTCTGCCCGCTATAACATCTACAATCCCCCTCTGCCTCTTACCTGACAGGTGGTGAAATCGACGCTGACGCCCGCATACAATGAGAGCTTCAACTTTCGATTGAAGCGACAGGCGGGCAGGCATTCGCTCTGGTTCCATTTGTATCACAATGGGCCCGCCCACACGCTGATCGGGGAGGCGGAGATGGAGATTGGCGAGATGGCGAAGCCGATTACCACTTGGATACCACTCTCTGATTCACGTAAATGCAATGCTCGCTGGGGAGAGCTAATGTTCTCGCTGAGCTATTTGCCCACAGCGGAGCGCTTGACTATAGTCGTGGTCAAGGCGCGGAATCTAAGACTGGAGCTGGACAACGGAGCAGCGGAGCCGACAACTCTGCAGAACATCTTTGTGAAGGTGAGTTGTGAAGTCGCCTTCAGAGTGATTCTTTACTTAGGCCCATCTGATTGTCCAGGTCTATCTGATGAACAACGACAAGAAGGTGCTGAAGAAGCGCACCTCGCTGAAGCGCAAGGATCGCTGTCCCATCTTCAACGAATCAATGATCTTCAGTGTGCCGCCCCAGGGTTTGACCACAGTCCAGTTGCGTCTCACCGTCTTCGGTGTAACAGACGGTGGGGCTATCGTGCCTCTGGGTCATGTGATTGCCGGCAGCTGTGCGGTGGGCAAGGGCTTGCGCCATTGGCATCAGATGCTCTCATCCCTGCGCAAGCCCGTGGCCATGTGGCATGTGTTACGTCGTGCCGCCAATCAACCCATCTTCATTGGCGGCGCAGAGGCTGTGGTGGCAGCTATGCAGAGCACGCTTCAAAAAGCGACCGCTAAGCGCAATAGCATCGTCTAAACGAGTAGGATCAAGAAAATTTTAGAGGATGACGAGGGCGAGACAGCAGGCGAGGAGGTGACAAAATTACCAGAGAAATGGAAACAGAAGGCGGGAAAAGCTAGGAGAAGCGGCCAAAAGAAGCGGTAGAAAAGGATAAATCGAGAGTACAGAGAGCTAAACTGGACTAACTAAAGATAACACTGGAGCGGAAGCCAAAGAAGAAAGCTAATGTAAGACTTGGCGCAAAAGTAAAAGCTCTAATTGAAGTGGGCGTCAGAATTTGGATCTGTGTAGCTTTGTTTGAGTCGAGTTCAATTACAACACCCGCAGCCGAACCTAACTCTGCACCTTACCCTACCTCTTATCTTTTCCCGTCCGATCCGCACTGTAATGTTTCCCCCTATTCTACCTGCCGTCTAAAGAATATACCCTCTACATTGCATTTACTAAATTTAGTGCTCGGCATTTTTCTTACTTTTTTACAGAGGATTTCCTAGAACATATTCGTCACAGGGCAATTAGACTTTAGGCACTATCCATATTATATATAGATCCATAATATATCAGATACCACTAACTAAAACTATAACAACCAAAAACAAATACCTAAACTAAACCCGCACCAAAGGACAAATCGAGCCTAAATTAGCTAAATTACACATTCTAGTACATATATAGCTACATATATGTATATATGCACACAATATATACCTAAGGACTATAGCCGTCTTTCTACACCATATATGTATTTAAATTAGATAATTCATGCACCCATTGCTATCAAGCATTTATACTAAATATCGATATCGATTATTATCGTTCAGCAACGAAAATACAAAATCTAACAGATGAAACATGAACAAAAGAAGAATTGAGTTTTCGGCAAGCCGAATATGCCATACCTTTGTAATGCGCGAATTGATCAACAGATTGATTGACAGAACAATTGATTGATCGTTTACTGATAGTTTATGCGCAGATTTTTCTGAAACTTGCAATTAAGTGGCATATATATATGATTGAGTATAATTTGATTGATACATTTTATTGAATGATTGATGTAGATTAATCTTATGTTAATTATTGATTGACTGATTGAGGGATTCATTGGTGGTGTTATTGATGTTAAGTTGATTGATTCAGTTTTGGCAAGGATATCGATTGTTACAAACAAATCAAATGAAAACTATTATGCATAATTTAAGCTACAGTTGGCAAGGATGTTTTCGTATTAAAGGTTAAATAAGATACAGAAATATATATTCTATGAATAGATAGAACGTTTACTGGCAATCATCATTGTTGAAATATTATTAAAAAAGAGTAAAAGGTTATTGCATTTGGGCAACAAGAAAAACACCCAGATTAGTGCAATGTGATATGATATAATTCAGATTTAGCTAATTATACATTAGATACATATATATCTATGTGTATATGTATATATTTATCTGGTTTTATATTTGAATTTTTTATTGTGTTAAGAAACCAGCAAGTATTTACAAAATGTATTATAGATATATATACATATATATCCACAAATCAACAGACTTTAGAAAACGTTTAGAGTTTTAAGATACTTTTTTGTCGAGAATTTCATAGTACATTTAATTTTTGAATAAACGAAACAAAAAATAGTTAAAAGACAATAAAATTGCAAGCATTTAAAACAAAACGGAAAATTATTATTAAATAGTGAACAAATTAATTTTCGTTCATTCAGTCCAGATCCGCACGTCTATCTCTATATATAAAAGAATATATATATACTGATTTAACAAATAAACTTGCTATATCTATGCATAATCCACACATTTTAAAAATATGTAAGCAAATGACCAACAAATTCAAAAACTAAACAAAAAACCTGGCACAAACCTTAGCAGCTTTAATATTCCAACTAATTATTTAAAAGCGTATATTGGAAAGTAAGATTAAATAATA